GATGCTGGCGTGGCGGCGCGCTTATACCGTATCCCCACCTTGTTGTTGATATAAAACCTATCTTTTTCCTCGCTTTTCTCTTCCTTTACAACACACCTCTACTATTTAAACATACCAAAATAGAACCAGAGGTGAACGATGGCTCTCTGGTCTTCTTCTTTTCCAAAACCGCAATAGCGGACTACGATGACCTTGCGCTCGGCGAAAGACTTTAATATCTTCCAACCTTATCCATACGTTATACCAGATCCTAAAAACACAGTATTCAACTACATGTCGATCGGCGGTGAAAAGCGAGCATAAAGGCCAACATCGTATGTGGCAAGACGTGCCAGAAAAAGTTCCCAATATATCTCATGTGCGGTTGAAGTCGGCAAAAACTATCATCTTCGACACATGAGCGCGCAGCGGGAGGACTGTATATATAGACTTCCTGTTTTCGCTGCCTGCTTCTTCTTTATCCGTACATTCCTGTTCCGCAGATCCAAAGCGTGGAAATGATGATGCATGGCTCCCGGCTTCCCCGTCTCCAAAACACAAATGAAACCAGAATATGGGGTGCTGTTGGAATTCGCCAAAAGCAGTTACATTCAAGTTGATGAGCGGCCATCGGGAGGAGTGCATATGTAAATGTCCCCTCTTCGCCGCCCTTTTTCTCTTTATCTACGCATTCGCCCTGCGGATATCCAAAGAACCAGTTCGAAGGCTCATGGTGACCATCTTGTCGCTCTTCTAAAAGAAACTGGATAAACTACTCTGGTGTGCTGTTGGAGATATCCGAGATATATACGCTTCAAAATCATGAGCGCCGTTCGGGAGAGGTGTATATAAATCTCCCCTTTGCGCCGTCTCCTTCTTTCTCATCTACGTATTGCCAATTCCGCATCTCCAAAAAACTCTGGAGCACAGCTTCATGGAAAGTGTCTCTTCCCTCTTCTAAAAACGTCGACAAGCTGGCGATGGGGAGCTTGCGGGCTTTGCTGCGATCAAAACGGGCGTTCAAGATCGTGATGAAAGCGACGAAGCTGTCCAAAAATGCTATGCGATGAACTCATGGCCAAAACTCCGGTCTGGGGGACTCAAAATACGGCTTCCTTCGCGACATGCGGGTGCGTTGGGTGTGTTGAAAGACTACACCAATGTCTTGATGCTTGCCTCGTTCTGGGATTCGTTTGCTGTGGGTGTATAAATCCTGGCTCAAAGATTGTTCTCTCCTTCTTTAATCACCTACGTTGTTTTTGTTCAAACTAAAAACTGCGATCGGTTGATGTCATGTTCTATTTGTGTCTGGTCTCCTAAAAGTAGCAGACAGCAACAACATGCGTGCGAAAGGTGTCGAAGGAGAGGCTTTTGGAGGCGCGAGGCTTATACCAAGCTATTGCTATCATCCAAAGGCTGGAGTCAGTAGTGATATCGTTGCCCTGCTATATTAGGGCTAGCATACAGGAAGACTTCGAGAAGAACACGCGTGTATTGCCCGGGCTCAATCGTATGCTTGTATTACGCTAACCCGATCTATCATGAGGTCGTTCTCGTCATCTCATCTGGCTCATTCCAACGTCATTACTACCCCCTCCTCGGACCCCTCTTAACCCTGCATCTCGATTCCTCCACTCCCGTGGATTACCTCACCCGTACAATAGCTCCCCAACGGGCTAGCAAGATGCACATAACACGTCGCCATCTCGACCGGCATGCCCGGACGATTCAGCGGGCAAGCGCCCACACCCAAGCTATCCATCGCATCAGCCGGGTTATTCTTCGTCGCCGGCTGCAGCGGCGTCCAAATGATACCGGGTGCCACAGCGTTAACACGGATTCCGTTTGGCGCTTGCTGCTGCGCAAGACCGCGGGTGAAAGTTACGATGGCGCCCTTTGTGGAGGCGTAGTCGAGAAGCATGGGGTTGGACATGTAGGATGCGACTGAGGCGCTGTTTACGATGCAGTCGCCGCGCTTCATGTGCTTGAGCGCGTATTTGGACATGGCGAACATGGAGATGACGTTGGTGTGGAAGGTCTTTTCGGTTACGTCCAGGTCGATTTCGGTTATGTCTGTGCAGGCTTCTTGCATGGCGGCTGTTGGATGTTAGCACGCTGGTTCGGAAGTCATGTGATAGTTATGGTATCTTACCGTTGTTGACTAAGACGTTCAGCTTGCCAAAGACCTTCATGTGTTGCTCGACGGCTTGCTCGCAATTCTTCCTCTCCCGTAGGTTAAGTTGCATAAGGTTTGCTTTGCGGCCGGCTTCTTCGATCTTCTTCTTGACGTATTGCGCATCCTCCTCCTCTTCGGGCAAGTACACGATGCTGACATCGGCGCCTTCTCTTGCGAATAGGATCGCTACAGCGCGTCCGATACCAGAGTCTCCACCCGTGATCAACGCGGCCTTGCCTTGCATCAAACCACGACCTTCATACTCTTTGAGGTAGGGTTTCTGGTTTTCGTCCCAGAACTCGAGACGCGACCATTCTGCTTTTTGGTCGGTCTTTGCGTCTAAACCAGGGCCGCCTTCTTGGTTTTGAGGTGTGATCTCTGTGGCAGGGTATGCGGTAACTGGGCCCTTGTTGTCACTCATCTTGGAGGTAGTGTGACTAAAGGTACGTGTAATTGGCCTGAATAGGGTAGAAGAGGTGATTGGCTTCCGGAAAACAAAGTTCGAAGATCTGATGATGGTTGTTTTGAACATCTCTGTCGATCGGGGGGTAGTAATTGTAGGGGCCGGTTTTGGTGGGGTTGGGATTTGATGCGATCGTCATCGAGCGTCATCGTAGTAATTCAACACCACGTCACGACGCTGAGTCTGGACTGAGGCTTTTGAAATTGTTCATTAACCGGTGCATAGAACTGCGATAACGAGCACACCAGGTGTGCATGGGTTTAACCATCTGATTGATGGATGTCGCGTTCTCTGCTCCAAACGCGTCTGAGTTCCCAGGTGTGCGTGCGTGCACAGATCATCCACGTCGGCAAAGCAACGACACGCTCACAATCGAGGAGAACCTTGAACGAACACCTGCTGGAGGGACGAGGGCCAAGAGTATCGGGTCCGGGACGTATAAGGATGTAGTAACTGGAAGATACACCAGCGACCAATCTTAACTCCCGCAACCAAGCTTCTTTTGCGAAGCTACCTAGGTGATCAGGCCTGGAGCATCATTCTTGCCCCCAGCCTCCCTTCGGCAAGGGTGTAACGAAGGCTTGCACGTCCATGGAATGATGATAAGGTCTTGTTGATGCAGGTCGGTCACCGCAGCTCTTCGACTACCCGACGTCTCGCGTTCCAACCTAAGCCCGGCAAAGCGTCCGCTAACTTTCACGCAAGCTGAATTTTCTCATGACCAGTCTGCGCAGTGGCAGGCCGACGACAGCATTTCGAAACCATGTGCCACGCATTTCATGCAGCTTGAAGAGAACAGAGGAGAAGATGGAGAGTTTCAGGGTCTTGGAACCTTCGCCATGATTCCATTGGAAGGGTGCAGTGGGGGCGCCATGGCCCTTTCAGGGTTAGTCCGACGACCTTACCCCACCGCCCCTGATCCGTGCCGCCTTCCGCTTCCCGTGTCACCTCACCGTTTGTTCTCCGAGTACTCTGCGTCAACGCAGACCCAACCGCCATTGTCTGTGATCCTTGTGAATACTTGAAAGTGCTTCTCGAACAACATTACTCTCTTCAATCGCCATGGACCCATCACTCGAAAGTGATGTTCTAAACCGAAGATCGTTAATTCTAACGTACCGAAATTACAAAAACGACACGGAGTACATCGCTGGTTGGCTCGCATGGACATCGGGGAAATGCGGATACATCAGAGCTATCACCGAGCCTGAGCCTCAGCAGAAAGCGCCGCGGAAGAGGGGAAAGGCAGGCAAAGCTCGTAAGCCAGCCAAGAAGACGCCGGAGCCTGTGACCCCAGCTCAATATCCCATACGCGTCTCCGAGTTCGTAGAGATGGCTGAACACATTGCTTCATTTGATCCCAAGATCGAAGTCCCAGCTGCGCTAGAAAAGGTTTTTGACCGAGTGATCTTAGCTCGGAGCAAAGTGGCCAGTTGGTTTGAGAGGACACTCGACCGATTACGTCAGCAACCACAAGCACTCCTACTTTATCACCGTTCTGGAAAAGGCGGCAAAACTGCTGAAGCCTCTGATACCAGAGACGCCAGTAGTTTCTGAGAACATCAAGCTACAAAACAGGTTCGCCGGGCTTACGGTCGAAGAGACGGACCCACTGGACGAACTCATCACCGAAGTTAAGGAGAAGCAATTGCCCAAAGTCGACCCTATCCCGATTGAGCAAGACGAGGAGAGTCTCGAGCACGACTTCTTCTTCGCTATCGCGACATTTCTTGAGGAGATCTACGACGTGCGAGCATGGATTGTGCGAGAGTGGGATGAATATCGGCAGACAGGTGAAGGTCTCACACGCGCGGCAGTGCTTTCCAATACGGCCGTCGATCTGGTGCGATCTGCTGAGAATCAATTCGATCAGATGCTCGTTCGTCCCAAGAAGTAAGGCTAAGCCATTGTAGTGCCCGTATACACAAGCTGACGGAGATGATTAGATACCCCGCCAAGGATTACCCTGTTTGGACTCTTCCGGCACTGCTTTACGCTCGCATGCACGATTTCTTTTACTACGGCGATGTCAAAGACAATGTCGATAAACTCGTCAAGCCGTCTATGAGAATCCAGACAAACGATCATTTGTGCGAGCAGGAGACATATTGCATGTGGCACGTCTATAGCGGCCTAAAGGTATATTTGTTATCACAGACGGGCCCACTTCACACTCGACAATCTCACATAACGCGAGAGTCATTCGCTAGTGACGCAGACAAAATGGCGCTGGAGGTCTTTGAGACCCTGGAATGGGCTTAGTTCTTCGACGTCGCAAGTCATCTCCATCTGTCTCATTTCGCCGTTGACGAGACTGCTCGGGGTATCAAACACATGATAACTTTCAAAGAGATTCCTATATGACTCACTGTAGCGGTACAGATGTTCTTTGACGTTGAGTCGGTGTTTCAAGAGGAGGGCACGCTTGCAGCGCCTTTCCGCGAGTACAAAGAGACCGTTCGTAAAGCCGCGAAGGATTTCTCCAAAATTGATCCTATCGAGCGGCCGTTCAAGGGATCTGCGGATTCCGACAAAAATATAGCCTCGATCTATCAGAACATGCGTAATATCTTGAGCGATCATCAAGACTACGCGATTCGTGATCGCTGGGGAAGATTCATCCAGAAGATCAAGGAGGACAAGCATGAGCCACTGAGTAAAACTGTAGACGAGCGGGATTACGGTACGTTTGGATCATATTGGTGTTACAAGAGGGCTAAAACTAACTTGCGACAGTCTTGAAAAGGCATCCGATCCGCTGCGGGCTTCTGAAGTACGAACTACAGCTACAGCTTAATCACAGAGCTTCCAAAATCGAGCATATGGCGGGCGACATTCTTTACATGGCCTGGCTGTATGTTGCGGTAAGCCGGATACTGCACCCGTATATGCCCCGATGGCCTGACATGGAATATCTACTCAACGGTCGACAAGACAAGCTGTTCTTCGGTGAATGGCCAAAGACTCTCGACGAAGTGGGTAAGAAGATTGATCTCGGACGCGGCTACTCCATTGCCAATAAGGCGAGCAATCGGCGTTCAAAGAAGGACACCTGGGACAACAAGCAACTGCACCGACTCGACGACCCAACTGTGATCGGAGAACTGTTTTTGAAGCGGATGGGTGCGGAACCCAAATCAACAGCAGAAGCCCACGAACGGGTGATGAAGTTAGTCAGCCTGGTGTGCAAGCCAGAGTCGCAGAAGATCTTGGACAGACAAGAAAACTTACCCCAAGGTACTTACGAAACATCGGAGTTCTTGAAGTCCGTGGAAATGCAACGCAAGCCCTTAGCCTTGCTCGGAGAGATTCGCCAGTGGCTCCTAGCGGATGAAAACGACCTGCACTTCGACTGGTTCGGTATGTTGCATACCTGTACAAACATCTGGAAGACAATCATGCCGGCATTTCGCAAGAATCCCGTGTTTAAAGACGACCCTAACATCTACAACTGGAACGTTAATACTGTAATCACTGTACTCAAGACAGAATCTATCGCGCAAGACATGGGTACGCCTATGCCAATTTTTGAGGTGGTTTGTGAAACTTTAAAGCAGTTCATCCAGATCCCAGTATCAAAGGAGAGCGGCAGCAAAACATGGAAAGGCGATCTACATTTGGCCAAGCTTGTAGATGTTTGCAACCCTGCGATGACGTTGATGAACCCAGGGCCTGTCAGCTTCATGAATCTCTACGCAAACTGGAGTGATGAAGACAAGAGAGACTCTCGTGTGGGCAGAGCAGTTTGGTATGCAATGCAGGCATTTGGTGCTAGGACCGGGAAGGAGAAGAACAACAGAGAGAGCGTGAAAGAAGAGACAGATGGCGAAGAGTCAGTCAGCGAGGCATCAGCCGCCGAGGAGCCTGTCAACGAGGGACCAGACGGCAAAGAGCCAGTGAACGATACACCCGTGGATGAGGACGAACCCAGCGAGCACTCAGGCAGCCAAGACGATGAGACGGCCGAAATCGACGAAGCAGCTTCGGACGCTGGTAGTGGCATCAGTATTCAGGAATTCTCTTTGGACCTCAATGCGCTCGCTAGCCAGTACAAGAACGGCGGCAACAACATCATCTTCATGGGCAACAAAATGAAAGCGTCGGTAGCCATCAGTCGCGCGCAGATGGGCCAGCTACGTACGGCACCCAATGGGGACTTCGTATTGCCCGGCGGACCCCCAAGCCGGTCTTCTCGAGTACAAATGCTACCCCCGCGGCAGTCGAAGCGTGTTCGTGGTGTTCGTGCAATAGCTACGACGGAAGATGCCCCCGATCTGTGTGCTTGCGGTCTCAGTCGGTACGGAGTGAGTGTAAGGCCGATACCGACAATGAACACCAAGGCAGCGAAAGTGGAGCACCAATGTATGGGAGCGCTATTCGAAGGGATCGACGTACCGGACCGTGACCTCGGTGACGCTATCAAGGTAACACGGCGCAAGATTTGAGGTTCGCAAAGTTGGAAAGAAAGAAGGCAGACTCGGATCTCGTGGCATGGGACCGCGGAGGTAGTATAGCTAGTCAATGTATGTAGTCGACCACGATGTCTTCCGCACTTAGGTTTCCTGCTAGCGTTCGCTCCATGATACAAACAACCTTCTTCGAAACAGGCTGTTACAGCAACGACAGTGACGACATTGCGAACGCACCACGTACTGCCAGGTGCTTGCTGGAGATGCATCGCACCGTGCCTCCAACCTTCGGCTTTCTTTGCACCCACCAAAAGCTCACAGTGAACAACCACGAACACGACCCCAGCGCATGAACGTTCGCCTTGGAATGCTGCAGCAAGGTGCAGATCAAAGCCAATGCAGTTGCACGATAGACGCTGGAAATAAAGTTCTCGCACAAAACCAATACCCGGGTGCGTGTTTTCGCTAACAGAGACATGCCGACGGACGATCAGGTAGGTTACCGCTGCTAATACCCATGGGATTGTTTCCGAAAAGCAATTTAGATGCAGGTCGCAAGCGGCGCAGCTTTTCAAGATCACCAGGAACACTTCAATGCGTTGCTTTTGATGGACTATTGTACCATACTGGGACGATTGGCCAACAGCAACACAGGAAATTGCATGTGGACTGCGCCACGAGATGACGCTGGAACAACAATCCAGGATTCCAGGCGTGAACACAGAGTTTATGTCTTTGCTGGCATGCCATGCGTTCGCTTGTTCAAACTGTCGAAAGGATTAGAAAATGATCTCAAGAGGTCGCTCCCGTCCAACTCTGGTATTCGGAGGAGGGTAGACAAAGTGGGGCGCTTGATGGGCGTCTGCGATGTTACTAATCGTGCGACTACCATATTTGACTACCTTGTTTGGTAATCTTCATACGTCAGTAAGCTAATGTCGACGCCGCACACTCCCTACCGATAGTCGTCACGGCCGGTAGAGTTCCAAAATGCGCTCGCATGCATCCGAATCCTCCGGATCAGACGGGCGCACAACTCAACGAGGAAGGTCAGGCCCTCCTCGTGGCGACATGTCGATCGTTGAGCGGAGAGCCAGCATCTGGACCAGAGTGGAGGAAAAGTACCAAGGCTTTCGGCAGTGCTCACGCGTGTCGCTCGTATTACCAGGGAGGCCGGAAAGCGATCAGTTGCTACGATTTCAAATGCCCGTTCGGTAAGAGTTCGCCAACCTGCGTTGTTTGAAACATAGCACGGCATTGTCTCAAACAACCAGACGTTTTCATCGCAGGAGTGAACCAAAATTGCTGCATGCGCCGGTGATATGTTGGGAAGCGATGGGTCTTGTCGATAGGCTGTTTATCGATAGCCCTCTGGCGGCTGAAACAGCGGCGTCGTGCGGCAGCGGAAGCCCCGTATTCACCCCTGCTGCCACGACACGCAGCCGAGGGGCGATCCGACCACGAGAAAAACAGCCCCAAGTCATTACAAACGAAAACCAACATGACATCACGGCTTTTGATTCGTTCTTTTGCGTGATGAGGTTGATCTCGGTGTTTTCCGAGATCCACCGTAAATCTTGAGACTTCGATGTCTGGGCTTCGAGAATACGAAATGTACGTATGCAAACTCCACATGAGGTTGGGAATGGCACAGCAGGCTGAGACACCGACAGCTGCGTGACAGGATTAGTACTATGCAATAAGAAGGGGCACAGGTCGTCATCTCTACGCCGTACGTAGGCGCGCAGATGACTACCAATGATAGTGGGTGTGTTCCTCTACACGCCGGGCGAACCCAGTTCGTGACTAAGAAACTAGTTCTTTCGTACCTACATTAGCGTCAGGCACACACTCCACCAGCTGAGCGCCGGCGCACCTCTTTGGTCAGCAGGCCGCCTGTCAGAGACAGCAGAAGCCACCGTGCAAACCCCTCACGGGCGTCGGGAAATGCGGGGCGAAAAGTAAGCGCCTCCGAAATGATGGCCTGGACATTCCGGGCATCTTGGCTGCTTCTGGAATGCTGGGTGGTGAGCATTCTTAAGGGCTGCTGCTCGCCCTTGCAGAGGGATATCCTTCACGCTCACAGCAAGCAAGTCACTCTCTCTTCAGTCATTCATTGACCAGTCATTCATTCTATAGCCCGGTGCTATCAACAAAACACTCATTCTTCTTCACATTCTTTATCACATTCTTCACAAGGTATACCCACCAACAAATATACCCACAAAACCGTTATCTCTGCGACCAACATCAACTCAACCATGTCTATGTCCAAGATCTTCCAGACTGGCGCTCTTGTAGCTGCCCTCATCGCTACTGTGGCCGGCCACACCTCTGTCGAGCAGTTCGAGGCTGGAGGCAAGACCTACCCCGGTTTCCGTCAGGCTTCCAAGCAGGATCCTGGTAACAAGTCACCTGCTTGGTGGACCAACCAGGGCTGGGGATACCAGCCCATCTACGGCGACAAGCTGAGCCAGTACGTTCATACCAACGCCAGTTCCTCCCTTTCGTGCATGGACTAACAGAACTCCAGCCCCGACATCATTGCCCACAAGGATGCCTCCCCCTCCCCATACACGGTCGAAGCCCCCGCCGGCCAAGACGTAACCTTCCACTGGCACCACGAGGGCAGCTGCGGCTCCGGCGAGGAGGGCTGGGACTGCTCTCACCACGGCTGGACAGCCACCTACATGGCATCCTGCAACGGCGACTGCAAGAACGTCGACAAGACGAAGCTCGAGTTCTTCAAGATCCACCAAAGCGCCCTCCTCGACTACCGCAAGGGCCGCTACTCGTCCGGCCAAGCCCAAGGCCAGACCGGCTACTGGGGCACCGACGCCATCTTCTACGACAACGGAAACACCCAGAAGGTTACCATCCCTGCTGAGATCCCCAGCGGAAACTACGTCCTCAGGACTGAGGTTGTGTCTATCCACAACAACGGCGATGTTAGCCAGCGCCAGTTCTGGCCTCAGGCTTTCAACATCAAGGTCACTGGCGGTGACGACAGCAAGCAGGTTCCTGCTGGAAAGAAGGGTACTGAGCTGTACAAGGCTAGCGATGAGCTCCTTCAGTGGGACCTCTACTGGCACCAGGCTGGTGAGACTATCGAGGATGCGCCTGGCCCTAAGCTCGCTGCTGTCGCTTCCGTTCAGAAGCGTGCTCACGCTCGTGACTTCTCTGCTTAGGCAAACCTTTTTACACTTTCTACCTCTTCTTCTTCTTTCTCCGTCTGCTTAGGGATGGCTGGTCGCATGCTATACGGGTTAGCTGCGCGGATTACAAAATGGTGTATACGGGCATGGGTTGGGGTTTAGGCTTTCACGGACTGGGACTGGGATTCTTCTTCTTCTTGGGCATCACTTTCGGTTGGACTGGGTCTTTCGATGAGGATGATGCTGCGACGACCTTTTTATGATTCGATTCTTAGATACACTTAGGCATTACTGCAATGCAAGTTTCGAGCACTGCGCTCAACACCATGCTTTCTGCCTCGCCAGTCCCGTGACTCTTTCTCTGTGTGATTCGTGCGTCGTAGCGGCTATGTAGTCATCGCTTGAGCTACTCGTGACCGTCTTCATATGCCTGTGGAGACGAAACCGGCTCGACTTGCCAGATATCAGCTTTGCATGCTTGGCTTTACAAGATGTACACTCTCATTCGATTCTCGTAGTGCTCGCTCGGTATCTTCACGCCCTCACGGTCCAGCCACTGCACACTTATAGTCCATGCGTGGAGCCGCATCATCATCATCCACCAGACATCTTCGTACGAGAATCTTTCCTCGCTAGGGTTACGAGATTCCATCTCCAAGACGAAATCGGGTATATTCTCGAGGTATATGTATGCTCGTTCCGTAAAAATTGGATCTCGGTCTTGTGGAAGCGAGGCACTGTCTCGTGTCTTGTCATGTCCAATCCTAATGTTTTCTTTGGCTTTCTGGAGGCTAGAAGCATTGATGTCGATGTGACAAGGTACGCAGAAGTCGTACATTCCGAGCACACCCAAGCCTTCAGTGTTTTGCAGATATCGTGTTGCCGCATCGAACCCTTTGCGAAATACAGATCTCCGCTTCGCATTGAATACAGCATTTTGGGAACGGAATCTTCTGAAGCCACGAGGATCACAGTTTTCCCAATCGTTGTAGAATTGAAGTACTTGCGCGCACGGCCCGGAGAGCGTTTTCTCATGCTTTTTAAGCTCCTCTTTCCAGACATTACGCGATTCGTGTCTTTCGCCCATCGTTGTCAGTGGGAAAGGGAAAGGGTTGTCGATCACATTCGATGTGATGCCTTCAATCGGGAGCCATTTGCACCACAAACCGAGGATATCTGTCAAAGCTGGAAGCCTATGAGCAGGATCTTGATGCGACAAGCTTGCTTTCAATGCCTTTTTCCCATCGTGACATATGCCTAGATCTTTCAGCGCACGACTCAGACTCGCCTCTACAGGCAATTGCTCATGCCTCAGGTAGAGTCGTCGGTGCTGGGACACGGACCGTCCAAGTTCGTATTCCTGGAATCCATCGTTGGAAACAATCCCATAGGTGAACTAGAGCTCGTAAGTAAAGATCGTCGGGAAAAGGACGTTGCAGTATCCTGTAAGCAGCACCTTATTGCCAATTACACCACCAGTCTTGAACAATACCGTTTGCTTGGCGAAATGTCTGACATAATGTTGCCAAACTGCAACTAAGCAACTGATGTATCGCACGTACCTCATCCGCAATCATGTCAGGTATACGGCGTTCGTAATATTGGATAGACGTTCCCTCGCCGAATTCCACTACCAATCCCATACCTCGCACAATAGAGGTGAAGAAGCTTCGACCAGAACCTGCAGCACGCATAATGCCTTCATCGGGTCGGAAATCTGTCCAGATCATACCTAGACGGTAAGCCATGGTGATCAAGCAGCCGACTGTAGTACTAGCGACTGGTCGAACGATATCTGGCGGCATAAAATCCCATGAACGAGTTTTCCCTACATTTGTGGAAATGTCGGGTTAGTCCTACGTTACAAGTACGTCTCTTGCGGCAACTTACTTGAGACACAGATCGGCGCTAAGTCATCTAGATAGTGGGGACCCCGAGGAAACCTTGGTGTTATCTGTTTCAGTTGAGAATGCGACTGAACCCGGTGAATATGAACTAATAGTGTATACCATGTAGGCACATCTTCTTCGGCCGGAAAAAGGTAGTCACAGAAGGTACCAACGCGTGAAATCCGGGTACCCATAAGGGCTACCTGCCTGTCCCAAGATATTAACCGTCGTGAGCCGTCCTGCCCAAACAAAGTTGAATACCACCTCTTGTATATTTCTTCTTCGCTGTAATAAAAGGACACGCGATGTTCAATTCTACGTAGCGACCTTATCTCGAAGTGAGGAGTCGTTACTTTGACCTCATATCGAAACGAACTCCTTCTCAGATTAGTGAAATTGGACAGTACACCATGCCCTTCCCACTGCAAACAACTTACCACCTGAACTTCAACTTAACTAGTTTGTACCAGTCTCCGATTATAGAGGGCTGACATCTACGATATCCGTCCGCTGTAGAGAAGAGTTGCGCCACGAGTTGGCCGGCTGCGATGACCAAGGCTGAGATCGCTATAGCCAAAGCGACGGTCGCTACGCTGGCTTCGCTGACCATGCCGCCGTATATCCGTTGATGGATGGATGAGGTATGGATTGATCTGGAGGTTCAAGAACGAGGTGTTGACAGTATAATCTGGTTAGGGATTCTTCGGATGCTATTGCATCGATCATTGTGTAGCCTATTACCTCTGAGTACTACCTTGGCCAAATATATTTGCGAGGAAGACGTACCCCTGCATTATCGGCAGTGTGACACTTGTTCGCGCAGTGCATGTGAGCTGCTGCGAGCGAACCGATTGCCAGATCCACGGCCGTGTACCTATTTCGAAGGATTCAGATCCTGGAAGGATACTGTGGATCGACAGAGTTACATCGTAATAACCTTTCGATACCTTGTAGGTTATTGCTGTGCCGCATGCAGTGTAAGTTAGCATGGAGAAGGCGCAGACCTAAGCGCCAGCACCCCGCTCCTGCCATCTCATCCCACCTCAGCCCCGCCATTTGCATGCGTCGGCTAATACAAGACGCCATAACAGCTTTGGAGCTATGAATCAGACACTCGATACCGTTACTGTGGAGCTGCATGAATCAAAGACTGTTGGACTCATGATGTTTATGGCTATATAAACGCACGAATTCAATCATTAGCTAATCTTCACCGCGGCAATGGTTTAAGGGTAAAATCCAAGCTTCCCACGCTTCATACGTAGCCTGCTTGGGCTCCGAGTTCGAGTCTCGGTTGCCGCAAACCTCAATGTTTTTTGCTCCTGTGGTGTCCATGAAGTTTGCCGCTTTTCAAACTTCCGCGCGTAGGGGTAAAGAGGCTTCTCTTTTTGCGCGGCGTTGCGACATGGCATTGGCGCGGCGCGTCAAGATAGGAAGAACAAAGGGGATTAGGAAGTGACTTGAGTAGTGAGTATCGCAAACAATAACATGCGACAGAAGTTGAAGTCGTGTGCTGGGCTAATGTGGGGTTCAGCAGCCGCCCGTAGCGCTGCGTCATCGCTCCCAAACACGATCCAGAAGCTCTCCAGCAACACCAAGGCACCACCCCACCGACCCCTCAACCACCCGATATGGCTTCCAAGATCGAAAAGACGCTTGCGCGACAACGCGAAAAGTAAGTCTAGGTCTCATCATCGCGCAAAACGCAATGGCTAACCCCGCCCAGGATCGCAGAAGGCCAATTCTACGAAGCCCACCAACAACTCCGCGTAATCGCATCCCGCTACACCAAAGCCTCCGATTGGGCATCCGCAACCTCCATCCTACACTCTGGCGCGCTGTCTCTCCTCCAAGCAGGCCAAGGCGGTTCAGGCGGCGACCTATGCATATTCCTCCTGGACGTATACAACAAGGGGGAGGTGAAGGTAGACGCAGAGAGCAAAGGACGACTACTAGGCCTTCTACGCGCCTTCCCCAAGGATGAGCCTACAAAGAAGAAGTTCGTGGGCGAGATGATAGCATGGAGTAGTCGGTTCGGCGATTATCCCGCCGGCGACCCAGAGATACATCATGTCGCGGGAGGACTATACGCTGAAGGTACGCACACCACCTCTCTCACTCCCCAGTCCAACCCCAACCCCATTCCCACGAAACGACACTAACTCAACCCTCCCCTCAGACCTCGAACCCTACGAAGCAGAACGCCACCTCCTCCTCGGCACCCAAGACTCCGCCTCAACCCTCTCCTCCCTCCACTACTCGTGGTACACCTCCGACGCGCCCCACACCGCACCCCTCTACCTCGCCCGCGGCACCCTCCCCTACCTGCTCACAGGAAACCTGCGCGCCGCAAACAAACACTACCTCCTCTTCACCTCGTCCCTGCAACGCGCGCCGAACCCGCCCACGCAGCCCGTCTCTACAAAAGCCTCCGACTTCACCGTATACCCCTCGTTACCTCTGCTCAATTTCCTGGGACTATTGTTGCTGAGCGTGGAGCGCGGGGATCCGAGTTTGTGGAGGCAGTTGAAGAGCCATTATGCGGGGGATCTGAAGGATGTGAATTGGGGGGAGGCGTTGGATCAGGTGGGCGAGATGTATTTTGGGATTAAGATTCCGAGGCAGGGGAACCCGATGTTTGATATGTTGGGGAGTATGTTTGGGGGTGGCATGGGCGGTGGTGGTGCGCCGTCGAAGAAGGCTGTTGGTGGGAGGCCGCCGGCTGCTGGGCTGGATTGAGTGGGTTGTACGGATACGGAGTGCTAGATGGGGAGGCTCTGCGCTTGCATTGCCTATATGGGATGCGTTGCAGAGGCGGAGGGAAAGCTTTCTAGAGTTAGGCACGAGATACAGCAGAAGAGATACCATTTCACCAAACAAGGTCAGAATCTGGAAGCGATTGATGTGTTCATTCAGTCAATTCAAAGCTTATAAGCTTTTGTCTATACCTACCATGTCCATCAAATAGCATCTTCCTTCTTGCATCCAGGCGACCACCTTACATAGGCACAGTCTTCTCCTTAAACACAACACCATACTGGTCCTCAAGCGTCTTCATCAACGGGCGGCAGATCTCCGGGCTCATAGGAGCAAGGATACCCTTCTCGCTCAGCGTACCATCAAGCACCTGCTGCACAGCAACCGCACAAGGAACACCAACAAGCTTAGCCATGGCAGAGTAACCCTTGGGGTCACCGTAGTCAGCCAGCGTGCAAGTACGAACAGCCTTGCTACCGTCCTTGTTCTCAATCTCGAACCTGTGCTGCAGCATAACCATATCACGCTCATCGTTCTCGTACTGCATCTTCTTCTCCAGGGTAGCGCAGAGAGTATCAAGCGGGTTGCCGCGAGCCTCAATCTGCTCATCGGAGATAAGCCCGATCCAGCGGAGACCAGTGATGATGCGGTCCTTCTCCTCTGTGCTGGCGAACTTTGTCCGCGAGGAAATGGCCCAGATGAGGTCCTCGTCCTTGTCGCTGCTGGCGCCAATGATCTTGGCGGTTGCGTCGCGCCAGGTGCGCTTCTCGCCTTTCTTGAGGAAGTCCTTGGGGTCTTCGGACAGGAAGCCAATGTCGACCAGGCACTTGATGTACTCGGGGAAACCTTGGTAGCGCAGGGTACCGCGGATGATGGTCTGGCACTCGGGGATGTTATAGCGCTCCTTGTAGGGTGTGGAGTCGCGGTTGGGGTATGCGACGAAGGCGTAGCCGGGGTAGATGAAGTACGGCTTTGCTTCGGCCATGAGCTCGGGGCCCTCGACCGACTTGACCTTGCCGTCTTGGTAGAAGGCAGCCTGGTTTCGGAGCGCGAGGAGTACACCGCGCGACGACCAGGAGAACTTGTAGCCGAGCGGGTTGTCTGAGCACTCTGGTGCGGGGAGACCACCGCAGTATGACTTGAAGGATAGAATCTTGCCACCGGCCTTGTGCACCTCGTCGATGGTGAGGACGGCGGAGAGATGGTCAACACCGGGGTCGACACCGATCTCGTTCATGACGGTGATGCCGGCCTCCTTGGCTTGGGCGTCGAGCTCCATCATCGCGGGCGAGACGTATGAGGTTGTGACCACGTTCTTCTTCTTGCGGATCGCTGACTTGATGACCGTTGCGTGGTATGTGTAGGGGATAAGGGAGATGACGACGTCGACCTTGGCGACTTCGGCGTCGAGAGCGTCGGCATCGTTGACGTCGAGCTGAGAGTTGTTAGTTGGGAGCTACGGATGGTGGGGTATTCGTTCGTACGCTGATGGCGTTGGTGTTGGGAATGCCCTTAGCCAGGTCCTGAGCCTTCTGGAGGGTACGGCATGCTACTGTGACCTTGACGCCGGACTTCGCGAGAACGTCAACAGTTGGGCGTGTACTGTGATTTGTTAGTCTGTTGTAGATTAAGATGGTTGATAGATGGCTTACACGAAACCAGCACCGAGCAGAAGAGCGGTCCTATCACCAATTAGCCAAATCCACCACAACAGTCCTAAGTGAGCACCTACTTTCCGCTGTATGCTCCAGCAGCCGCCCCGCTGACGTTGCCCATAAGGTTCTGTACTTTGTCTGCATCGTCAATCAGACCATGTTCTTTTTCATTCGTAATCTCGACTTACTTGTGATTGCCTCCATGATGTGTGATTTGGATGTGATTGCCAAGATGTGAAAAAGTTTGGGGCGAGATTATATCTTTGGCGTTGACTCCGGATCGGAATAGAGAGAAATCGGCGGGGTTACTCCGTCATCGCTCCTGAAAGTGGGGCATGCGCGGCGCGTCACGCTGGGGATCTTGGGCTTTGGCAGGCCGATGGATGTTCCGAACTCAACCACATCTTGGTTAATTCACCTGGTAATACGCATGCAAGATTGTGTATAGCCTCGTGGTATCATCGTGGTTCAATTCCAGTGTTGCCTAGGCGCGTTCTTCAGGAGTATTTCGTGATGTTCCGCGCGTTGATGATCAACACGGTCGATTGCAAATTTTATCTTGCCAAGCAGCGTCCGGAATCTGTATAAGCATCAGGCAGGATTATTGCAGTGCATCTGTTCTCACGAGCCAGTTCTTCATTTCAATTTGACTTGCTGAAGATGGGATTGGACTGCAGAGCATCTGGTCCGGGGCATCTCGAAAAGGGAAGTGGGTCAGCGAGCCGCGCCAAGTCAGCTAGGTCGCATTTCCACTAGCACGGTTTCCGCGGACTTGCCAGGTACGCGTTTCATATGCGACGACGACGAGCACCACCATCCACAACTTTGGACCAGAACTGAACATAGCAACTTTCACCGTGACCTACTACTCCGCTTCCAACAGAAGTATTCTGCAACCACACACGACTACCAAAACCAGACAACCGCCATCATGCCTTCAGCCGTGGACCCTGACGATGACCTATGGGTGGCGATCAAACAAGTAGATAATTCCGTAAAAGTGTGCGCATATTGCATGTACTGACTGGAATAGATCTCCCAGTCATCCGTGGGCTCAGACTACATCGACCAGCTGATCCCCATCATGAAAGATGCACGCTACTCAAATCAACTGCAAATCACATTCGATCGCTATGCCAACGATCGCGAAAGTGAAATTGAGCGCATATGCAATGCAAATCATCAAGATTTCGTCAGCTCGGTCGACTCACTACTGAGGATACGCGACCAGACCGTGCAGATGAGTGGTGAGATTTTGCAGCTCAACGAGTCGATCCAAGAGAGTATTGAGAAGCTGGCGGAGCAGAAGAAGGCGCTGGTTGATTCGCGAGGCGTGCGCCAAAATATCGATGAAGCTTCGCAAGCGCTGAACGCGTGTCTGAACGTATTGCGCATTGCGAACTCGGTCCAGGATATGCTGAGGGAAAAGAACTACTATGCGGCATTGAGAGCTCTGGATGAGTTACAGACGATTCATTTGAAGGAGATCAATCGGTTCAAGATTGCGAATGTGATTGAGAAATCTATACCGCAAACCCAAGAGCAGATCAGAGAAGCAGTTAAGAACGACCTGAGTACGTGGCTTTACCGAATCCGCGAGTCGGCGCAATTTTTGGGCGAGGTCTCATTCTATTACACCGACGTACGGAGAACGCGCAACCAGGAACGCGCCGAAGCCGACACACGATTTTCTAAGTTCAAACTGAACTCAGCAATCGAACTTGTGGCCGACGAGACCGATGAGTTTGACGTGCTGAACAACGAGGAGGCTGGAAACGAGACGGACTTTTCGCCTTTGTTCGAAGCGATGCATATCAACGAGACGCTCGGCAAGAGCGAGCAGTTCCGAGCAGAGTACGCATCAGATCGGCGGACGCAGAAGGATTTGATCATACCGAATAAGCTGGATCTACTGGATGAGGAATGTAGTGACTTGAGCAGCTTGCTGGAGAGTATCGCGGGGTATGCGATTATCGAGAAGGCTACCATGTCTAAGACTCTTAACCTACGGTCACAGGCTGATGTATGTAACACTCGCTCATTCACGTAAAGCACTGCTAATAAGAGTATAGGTCGACGAACTATGGGACTCGATGTGTCAAAGTGCGATCAATCTCATCACGAGCCAGCTTCACACCGTTGAGAACGACGAGCTGCTCTTGAAGATCAAGGGTCGCATAGCGCTCTTCATGCTCACTATGGAGGTCCGTTACGCATCTACACCACCGCCGAGACTCTTACTGACTGCTACAGAAATGGGGCTACTCCGTCTCCGCAATGAACGACCTCCTCCTCACCCTCTTCTCCAAATACTCCTCCCTTCTCAAAGCCCGCTTCAGCGAAGACTTCAGCGAGATCGTGCACACAGACGACTACATGCCCATGCCCATCAACTCCAGCGAGGAGTACGATAAGGTCGTCTCGGTATCCTGGTACAATCCTCCGGCGTCCAACGAACCGCTCACCTTCCCTTGCGTATTGCCCTTCTCCCAGATGTATCCGCTATGCTGCATCGATATCCGGAATTTCCTCAACCAAATCTACCTATTCAGCGACGACTACTTCCAGAAGAGCAGTGTCATTGATGAAACACTGAGGCAGAGTCTGGATGAGCTGCTGTGTGAGAAAGTTTGCGGAAGCTTGATCGAGAGGCTGAGTAGTCAATATCCTGGGCAGATCGTGCAGATCTTGACGAATTTGGAACACTTCGAGAACGCCTGCGTTGAGCTGCAAGATCTACTCTTTGAAGCCCGTTCCTCGCCGTCAGCAACAGGTCCTGTCGTCCTCGCCGCAACCGACCGTTTCGCCAAAGCCAAGAACACCGCCTCCAACCGCGTCTTCGAGCTGGTGAACAGCAAGATCGACGATTTGATCGAGACAGCAGAGTACGACTGGATGGCCACCAAGCCTGAGACCGAACCATCGACGTACATGTTGGAGCTGACTAGGTACCTCTCCAACATAATGTCCTCGGTCCTTCTTGCGCTCCCCACAGAGATCAAAGAGTTCATCTACTTCGACGCTCTATCCCACGCGTCAACCGCCATCCTCGACCTCCCTCTCGCGCAGCACATCAAGCGCATTTCTCCCGCCGCCGTCGCAACTCTCGCCAACGACACCGCCTTCCTCAGCCAATTCGTCAGCTCCCTCAACAACCCCATCTTGATGGAGAACTTGGACGAATTGACGCAAACAGTCGCGCTGATGGGCACAGACGACTCCCTGGAGTTCTTCGACATTGCGCAGAGGAACAAGAAGTACAGCAAGGTAGACCAGATGAAGGGCGCTATCCTGCTGGAGAAGGTACAAGAAGGAGCGCAAGTCGCAGCGCAGAGTCCAACTGTAGGCGGCAAGGAGCGTTTCGGTACGCTAGGTTCTAGATTCGGTATTAGATAGAGTGTAGCCTGTCAATCTTCACATACATTTCACATCACAAGAGCGACGCAATATGTGAGCCAGGAGACATTCAATACGTTCTATCCCTGCATTCCAACACGCCAAAACGCCGTGAAAATAGCCACGCCGGGCTATCTGGTATCATCCGTAAACTATGGTACATGTGTATTCAGCAAACCACCCCAGACCAATTTCTATCTACTCGTCATCCTCCTCCTCATCCCGAGCGACAACAACCCCCTCATCCCACTCCTCCCCCTCATCCAACACCATACTAAACTCCCCCGCCAAAGCCAATTCATCGCTCGCGCTCAAAACGCCTTGAACGTCGCCCGAAGCGATCTCTTCATACACGGCCGTAATGCCGGTAATCCGGCACACGCGCGCGACACTCGCCATCATGACGAGCCCCAGCATGGCGAAAGGGCCGACAGCAACAAGTTGACTAAACGTACTTGAGAATAGTTAGTAAAAGTTATTCGAAGCCAACTCAGCTCATGCCATCAAAAACTTACTAATACCAACCATGCACAGCTCCCTTATCCCAAAACCTCAACCTCGCTTCCACTTTGCCCTCCCGCTCCTTGACGGGACCTTTCTCCAGCTCCTGCAGCAGAAGCCCAATCTGCCGCCGGAAGCCATGCAGGGATTTCCACCACGTGCAGCGCTGGTGCTGGTTTCGGTTTCGCGTGAAGATCTTGTTGAGGAGCGTGTGGATGTCGTGCAGCATTGCCATGTCGTGTGAGGATGCGTTCAGCAGCGCTGTGGCTGTGATGGTGGGTGGGGGTGAGGGGGTTGTGGGCAGGGTTGGGTGGTGTGGGAGGGTGAATGTTGAGGTTGCCATTTTGGTGGTCTTGGTGGTGGTGGTGGGGTTTGTAGATGGGTGGCTTAATGTAGAGGAGATAGAGGCGCGTTGATGGCTTTGTAGGCGTGTTGTGGGGGGTTTTGAGTCGCGTTGGCTGGATGTAGGCTCCCGGGTTGTGTGGACAGCCGCCGATATGGGGTATGTGCGTGCGCGGAACTGGGTATTGTATGCGCGGGAGGATGATGGCTTTAATTCCCGAAGGCAAGTAGCAGAGCGCAGAAGTATTGAGATCGCGGGTTGCGATGTGATCTGGCGGTACTACGATGGTGTTGGGAGTAATCGCAAAGGCAATGCGAGTACTGTCGTTGGAGAGGAAAAAATTTGCGCGCCGACTTTTGAGAAAACTAGCTACTCTACGACCATGAGACTGAAAACGAAAAGTGACGGTGAAGATGAAAAGCGGTGACGCTGGTTTGCCCACGAGGTATAGCTAGGGGTCTATGCGAAAGGTCATAGGTCTTGGGGATTCGGCGCGATGTTCCTGACTGACCGCGGTGTCAAATGACAAACGACAAACGAGACAAGGCCTAGCTTAATCTAGGTAACGCACACGTGCGCTGTTGTTGATGAAGCTGCAAAGAGTGCGAATGTGAAGTAGACGAACTTCATCTCAAGAAGTCTAAACGATCTTGACATGCTTATAGCTTTCGTCAACGAGGGGGTCAGGGATGCGGTGTGGCGCGAGAGTTCTAAACACCAGGGACAATAGTTCTGCCAACCTTTGATCATGAATTTCGCGATGCTCGCTCTGGATGGCTCCTGAAGCTGTGCGAGGTAAGATGTAGGCCTAAAACGTGTCTTGAGCAACGCAGTCGGAAGCAACAAGCCTACGGGAGCGCAGAGTCTATGGATGCGGCGAGGCGGAGGATGGGCGGGTGATGCGTTCTAAAGTAGTACGGCTTTTCATCTAGATACCTTAAGATAGGAGAAGCTGAAGATGATG